CTCGTGCATTCTGTAATCTCAATTCTCTATAACCTGTTGCGGTGTTATTTTGAAAAGCAGAAGAGAGACAAGCAAAAGTAAATCTTTACTGGTGAATGATTCTCAGGACAACTCAAACCATGTGAAATGAAACCTGATACAGGGAAATGAGAAAAGATTTCTGCTTTCTGAAAGAACTGGAAAGAACTTAACAGAACTGGAAATGTCATATACAGTGTCCCCAAAACTTTATGGATACTTTATGTCATTGGATTATTTTTAAATAAAAAACAAGTGGCATTCATTTTATATTGTTGGATTACAAATTTATAAAATGTTATATCTAGGTTCCAACGTAATAGTATATAAACTGAAAAAAGTTATGTACATTGTGTTTTACATTTTGAAGTAAAGATGATGGCATTCTAGATCAAGTCAGGCAGCCCAGGTGTCTGAGACATTAAAGGGTTAGTTCACCCAAAAATTTAAATTAGCTCATAAATTACTCACCCTCGAGTCATCCTAGGTGTATATGACTTTCTTCTTTCAGACGAATCCAGTCGGAGGTATATTAAAAATTGTCTTTGATCTTTCAAGCTGTTTCATGGCACTCAGCGGGTGTGGCATGCGTCCGTCCGAAAGAAGTTAAATAAAAGGCTCCCATCCATTAAAAAAAGTGTCTCACACAGCTTCGGGGGGTGAACAAAGGCCTTCTGTAGTGAATCGATGCGTGTTTGTAAGAAAAATATCCATATTCAAAACGTAATAATCCCTTTAATGTAGCTTGCGCTCACTGTTGTACATGGAAGCAGCTCTGGGCGGATGACGTACGAGGTCAGCTTTGCGCATGCGCCGCTCAGAAGTGACGGAAGCGGAAGTGCAGGGGAGAGATCAAAACAAAACAACGGTCACTAATTAGAAGTACAAAACGAGGATTTATAAAGAGGAATGACGGAGGATTTCGATATAAGCCAAGAGGAGACTGGTTTTCCTTTGCTAAAGTAAGGAAACTTTGCTTCCTTTGCTCCTGTAAACAAACGTTGGTTTTCACGAGACTCACTGGCGCGTGCGCAGCGCTGACCTCATAGGTCATTCCCCCGGAGCTGCTTCCGTGTACAACAGTGAGCTCAAGCTACATTAAAGTGATTATTACGTGTTGAATATGGATATTTTGCTTACAAAAAGGCATCGATTCGCTACAGGAGGCCTTTGTTCACCCCCTGGAGCCGTGTGAGACACTTTTTTTTAATGGATGGGAGCTTTTTATTTAACTTCTTTTGGACGGACGCATGCAACACCCGTTGAGTGCCATTAAACAGCTTGAAAGATTAAAGACAATTTTTATACCTCCGACTGGATTCGTCTGAAAGAAGAAAGTCATATACACCTAGGATGACTTGAGGGTGAGTAATTTATGGGCTAATTTTCATTTTTGGGTGAACTAACCCTTTAACCTTTTGACTTTATGCACTTCCTGATCATTGGGCAGGGTCCCAAGTGAATGCTAAGCTCAAGGCACAGCTGTGCCTTTGTCTCTATGATAATGTGAAGGTATGGGCGATACTGTCAGGCTGATTGGATTAGCACCTCTGCATTTAAATGACACTGTTATGCTGATGAGATCAGGGCTGGAGAAATTCCAGTAACGGGCTGATTCCTGTACTGCATTTGCATGCTTTGTTTAGATTGTCTCCACCTCTATATATCCCTCCCCCTTGAAAGGTATAAACTCTACTGTGCTGAGCTATAGTCAGACTTGGATGACTGCAGCGATGCACAGCGAGTCCTCAATAAAGAGTAACTTCTGTATGAAAGATATCCCAACGTCTCTTGGTTTCTGCTTCGACGAGAAAAAAGTTTCCTACAATATACATACACACATACAAACATACTTACATACTGTACATACATACATTTGCACCAAATTATAAAATAATCTATTTATTGTTCAAAATTAAGAAAAAATAGTTGTCAAAATGGTTGTCAGACTTGTGTTTGTATTTGCTAATATGATGAACTACACCTGTGGTTACTCTGCTAGGTGAACTCGTCTTCATACATCCGCTATAAAAACACATTGACAACAGTTAAAAGGCATTGCAAAAAAGTGAAGAAAGCCTCACAGCCTCATTTGTTTGCAGATGCCACTTGGTTTGATATATTTTTTTTATTAGTTACATCACACTGTGAATTCAATTCTACTCCTATACTTTAACGTGTAAATTGAATGTCTTTTGTGTCTTTTGTCTTTTCTGGGGGTTGTATGGTGAATTTATGATGGAATTAAGTTATTAACGTTTATTAATGATGGTTGCTTGACTTATTTTTTACGATTACACCAGTTTAGTGATTTACAGACAACAGTCTACAACAAACATACATATTCACATTTATTCAATTTTTTATTATTTAAGAACATCTTGGAGCAAAGGGCTCCCCGATGAGAAGAGAATCTTGCTCATACATTCTGAAACTGTGCTTCTAGTACGTATTCCAAGAGAAACCATTCTTTAACTGACTCATGTCAAGGTAAAAAAAAAGTGTTGAGATTAAATCAGGAAATCATTTGTGGAAGGTCCCTTCAGTGGAATGAGTTACAGTCTTAGGTGAAACCAGTCTAGACACACCAACACAAAAATACAACAGCAGCACACTGATTTATGCACTTGCACATAAGCGTTGAGCTTGATAAGGAATAGGCTGTCGGGTTAAAATTTGTGTCCTCATAAACCACATAAACATGCACACACACACACACACTCAGTATGTACAGTATAAATAGAAGGGAGTATGTTCCTCATTGATCTTTAATTCATTGACAGTAGGAGGTCATATATACCTACTGTTCTTCATTGTGGGTGTACAGTATAAATAGAAGTGAGTATACTCATTGACCTTTAAGGAGGTCGTATGTACTATTTTTCATTGTGGGTGGTAAAGAATCCCACCATCATATCTGGTAAGTTGCATTCTCCCCCCTGCTCATACAGGAAATGTGTTTGCATGCTTTTGCTTTTGTGGGCTTCTCAGTTTGTACTCTGTGTAGATACTCTACACATCATCAACTTGAAAAATGGAACATACTTATGCCTGGTGATCTATTAGAAAAAAACAGAAAATAATAGAAAAAAAAAATCCTAAATCATTACATCTTTACAATACATTTCTGAGTAGAAAAACAGGTTTGTTTAGATATATCATTCTATTTCTAAAGGAATTAAGTAAAATATTTCCAAACTTTACTGTAAAGGCCCTATGACGATATCTACAACTATAGATTTTTATAATTCTATGCACTGTAAAAAAATCCAACTTTCGAAAAGCTATATTAACAAACGTAAAAAAGTAGCCTGAACAAAGAATTTTTAGTAGAAGTCAGTTAAAATTTTTGTGTGAATCGAACAAAAATACTCTAAACATGTTGCTAGCAAAAGTTGTTTTGTTTACCTTACTTGGATAGTCAAGTATTCACAACATATCCACATATCCATTGTTTTACATGTTACTGGCTTATTTTATGCTGCTGCTGTTGTCAGTAAGCTATCATGTGGATAAGAGTTCATATTTTTCAGAAATTTCAAGAAAGAGGACTGTTAAGAAAGATTAGCATTGCTAAATGCTAAAAAAAATATTTGGTTGATCTGACAGATTTTTAAAACTCAGTAGACTGACTTTTATTCATTAGATGAACTAAAATTTTTAAGTTGTTGGTTGCTAGTTGAGTGGGATAGGTTGCCTTATTTTTTTGAGTTAGGTCTTTTTTTTCCCAGTGTGATAATATGGAAGTTTACACCACCACTATAACTATAACAACACAAAGGAACAATTATTGTCATCGCTTAAGGCCTCTCCAAACAACTCAGGGGTTTGGCATGTAAATTCGGCATGATTTTCACATTCGATTTGTTTGTTCAGATGAATGCGTAAAAAATGGAAGATTGAATTAAAATGCAGATTCACTCTCTGACAATTGGTGCTTATTCCCTAGTTACTCCAAAACAACTTTCCAATTCTGGCATGTGCTTGTTACGCAGAACAAAGGCAGTCAAACAGTATTTACTTTTTTTTTTTTCAAACAGCAGTTCAGATTTTTATATTCACTATGGTGTTTATCAAACCACACCAACTCATTTTATGTAACAGCACTGGGCAGGTGACCAAAAAACAAAAAGCTAATCTTATTGGTTAGCCAGTTTTCTTCGCTATGCAATGTAAAAGGTATTAGAACCTCTCGCTTAAAAAAAAAAAAAAATTGCATTGATGGCATTCAAATGTTCTTTTTGGTCTGAACAGAAGTTCATTCAAATTAACATTTATCACTCTGAATGTCCATACCAAATATTTGCCTTTTGTGAACAAGCCTTGGTTTGTTTCCTTGTTAAAGTGTAACTATACATTTAAGTACTGAGTAATATTAATTAACTACATGTACTTACTATATGGTTAGGAGGTCGCCGTGATTTTGCCAAGTAAGACATGTTCCTGGATCAACATCTTTTGTTGATCCTGGATCAACATTACGGTCCAAAAATACAGACTTAACCCAATCCCTACCCCTAAACCTAACCCTACCCATAATTTATTCCTAAAATCAGAGGGAAGTGATAGCTGATTAACAAGGGTGTAGAAGCACCTAATCCTGATTGTAAGCCTAAAACTGACATTTCCTGAAAAGTTATCTCTCAATTCTGATTGGTCGATTGGAATAATGTTCCTGGATCAACAAGGATGTTGATCCAGGAACATGTTGTACTTGGTCAAATCACGCTCATCATGGTTAGGATTAGGATTAGGGTTTTGCTTAGGGTTACTTGCATGTAATTATGCATGATTTATTGTTATTATAATTGTAAGTACATGTAAGGTGTAACAAGGACACCTTAAAATAAAGTGTTACCCAAGCCTTCAGTCATTCAGTAGCTGTTAATTATATGAACCACTAAACCACATGGAAATAATAAATACAATTTCAGCCTCAGAAATGTTGCCAAAGACAATTTTCAAAAAACACTTCTTATGTTTAATAAAATAGCATATTACATATAGACATAGAATCATCCATTGTAGAAGCTGTTGTCATTTGTTGTGTGGTTTATTACCTTCCACAAGTTACAACATCACTCCCCACAATTATTTATTATTTTATTTTTTATTTTTTTTCAGTAGGGCAGAACATTTTTAAATGTGAGTATACTGGTATTTTTTACTGGAACTTTGAGATACCAGCAACCAGTTGCATTATGCAACCCTGAAAAAGAGGTTTCCAAATGCATCTTGCTCCTCATAGAGAGTATTTCTAAATACAGAATAGCAAATGAGCGACCATTTTTCACTGGTCATTTCTCAGTATTATTATAAAATTGTCTAATAAATGATTAACTGAATCACCGGAACCGGATTGCAGCATATGCTGAAGGTTCTGGTTCATGTTGTGCTGTTCTTCTCTGCCCTCTTGGCATAGCTTGGTGATTCAAAGAAGCATAAACCAATGCATTCTCTTCTTCCCTTCTTTCTGTACCAACAGTGTTGTGTCTACCATCTGAAACTCTTCCAGCTGATGATGATCCTCTGACAGGTGGAGTCTCACAGCCACGATATAAAGCAGAGGTCAGCTGATCAGAGGGGGAATTGGTGTTGTGATGAGGAAGAGGAGGCAGATCACTTCTTTGTGTTTCCATGTACTGTGGAAGTGAAAACATAAAAACACAACCTTTAAAACCAAAACATTATTTTCAACAGATACAATAAACAGTTTCACTGAACAGATAAAAGATACCTGATTTTTAATCGTCTTTTCTTTTCTTGTTGATTTTGTCCCTACAGGATCATTCAAGGAAAAGAGAAATAAAAGCAGAATTTTATTCTAACTATATCTAGTTGTATTGTAACATATATATCTAGAACAGTAAAGTTTTGTTTAAACGCCCAAACCACTCACCTTGGCATCTGATGATAAACAATGTTACAGTAATAACTATCACCACCAGCCCTGCTATTCCACTGCAGATGTACACATAAGGCCAGAGCCACTGTAGATCATCCGTTGGACCTGAATTCAGATCACCTAATATTGAAGGTGAATAAAATTATATTTAAGAGTTGTTGTCATTATCAACTTATGGTTCTTATCAACAAATGAAGATGCATTTGTACAAACAAAACATTACCAGTAATACTTTTGTTGCTTTGATTGTCTGAAACCTTATCCTCCTTATTATCTATTAAAAATATAATAAAATGTCATAGTAATGTCATTATTTACATTTAACAAAATATGTGAATGTTTACAGTTTATCAGTGAATCTAAAGATAATGTCTATTACCTGTCACAGTCACATTAATAGAATGGCCTATAGACATGTCGCCTTCTTTACATCTGTAGAAACCTGTATCCTCCATTGAGATGTTCAGGAAAAGCAGGAAAGCCATCCCTTCATGTTCTGTGATGTTTGTCCACTCAGTTCTTAAGTGATTTGAGTAATTTAAAGATGTACAGACATCTCCATAGAGTTTGCACCATGAGACTCTTGGGTTCCTGTGACATCCATATAGAGTTATAGTACAGTTTATCTTCAACACGCTCATAACAGGAGCTAGAAACACTGTGTTTCGTGGCACTCTGACCAATGAATAACAATTCATCTCAGACCCTAGGAATGAAAGAAAACAGGGAAAAAATGTAGGTAGACCAAGAAAAGCCTATAGAGATTTCAAGAAAGATTGGTATCGGCATTGACAATAAGTGTAATTTTCACATCACGACTTTCAATCCTGAAAATGTAAAGTGAAATCTTCTTATTTTCAATAAAAAGTTTTGAAAGTAAAAAGAATGTTAACTGATGTAAACAGTACTAGACCAAATTTATAAAAACAGAAATATAAATATACATATATAAATCAGAATAAGTTCCACTATTCTGTAACCAGACATCCCAAACCCATAAGCATAACCTGTAAGTATAACGTAGCGCATGAGCTCTTTTTACTTTTTTTAAAGAATTGGAAAGAAACAGATTTATTCATTACATCTATTTGTTGATATTGGCATAAGGACTAAGCCACTGGATTTTCAGCTATTATACCATCTAAGATTAGTTAATGATTCAGATGTAGAAGGTATCTAAAATTAATTTTAAAATTCATGTCCTACAAGCAAATATTTACCAGCTACTATGGATAATATACCATGACATTAACATCAGGTCAGAAAACTATTTATCAGGTGAAAGGTTAAATAATAACTTACAAAACCATACACATACCACAACTGTTGCCATACACATACCACAATGTTCCCTAGAAACCACAATTAACAATATATTACTGACCGACATTAGTCAGTAATAGGGCATCATAGAGCAGATCTTAATACTTACCATTTGTGGTGCCGCTGACACTAAGCGATAGCAGTAGTAGAGAAACAGCAAGATTACAGATGATCTGGAAGACATAGTTGCCCATGATCTAATGTTTTTATCAGACAATGTGTGTTTAAAAACTAATGTCCAAAATGAGAGCTGTGCACATTGTTTGTCATGAGTATGTCTGCGAATGCGTGTATTGGAAAGATCAAGAGTGAAGTGGAAGTGTGCTGTAAGCTGTAAGTTCCACTATGACGTCTCTCACCATTTTTGTTTACTTTCTCTTTTCTTGTACCTTTTTTATCTTCACGTTCTTTGATCATAGGTTCTTTTCACCTGTGTTGTTCCTCAACATTTCTTTGTATTTTTTTTAGTCGTCTTTGTGTCCGTTTTTGATGGTTGTTCTTTTTGGTTTGCTTTCTTTCGTCATTGACAGTGTCAAACCTCATCTAGTGTGCTTGTAGTGGTTTCAAGTTGTCTGAACCTTGTCCAGATTGGTTGAACTTTCATGCAAATGTTGAAGAGAAAAAGAATGAAGAAACAGAAATACAATGAACTCAGTGACACCTCCTTGTGGACAATGACTGAACACCACTGCAAACTGTATTTTCTCTCCAAGGAGGTCTACATAAATAGCCTATTTGTTAGAATTTCTATTTATTTAAGTGGCAGTTGCTTTGTTTTTTACCAGCCCAAGTTTGTTATTAACCGTTTTTCAGGTCTCCTTGAAGAGATATGAGTGGCATTTACACCTGCCATTAACATGTGTTTTGTGTCTGTTTAGCATTTGTATGATACTAGCAAGAATACATTTGGACCATGACTTCAACGTGTCTCCAGTGACATTGGAAAGAGATATGATTGTGCATAAGCCCAAAGTATAGTTTGTTTTTCACCAGTACACTAGCGTACACATACAGTCAGGTCCGGATTTACCTCTTTTCGTGACATAGGCAAAACTCATTTTCTGACTCAACCAAGTCCTGTTTCTCTTGGTCTGAAGCAGCTCAAGTAGCCTTCGACCATTTTAAGAGATTATTTACGACTGCTCCTATTCTTATCACTCCCGATGCTACAAGACAATTCACAGTGGAGGCTGACGCGTCTAATGTTGGTGTGGGAGTGGTGCTGTAACAGCGCTCCCCACAGGACAACCGGGTCCACCCGTGTGCTTTTTTTCTCACTGCCTCTCGCCGGCGGAACCTAACTACGATGTAGGTAACCACGAACTCCTAGCCATTTACTTTGCACTAGGCGAGTGGAGCCATTGGCTTGAGCGGGCAGCCCATCTGATCGTTGTTTGGACAGATCACCGTAATCTTGAATATATTCGTTCGGCTAAGAGATCAAATGCAAGACAGGCTCGGTGGGCCCTATTCTTCGCACAGGTTCGACTTTACCATTTCTTACAGACCAGGCTCTAAGAACACTAAGCCCGATGCGCTGTCTCGTCAGTTCGGTTCCTCTGAGGACGGCTCATCCACAGAGACTATTATGCCCGATGGTCGTGTGGTTGGGGCCGTGGTCTGGGGAATTGAAAGGCATGTAAAGAAGGCTCTGGCTCGCATCGCTATTCCTCGTGAGTGTCCGACGGGTAGATTATTCATCCCCAAGTCCATGTATCCAGCTGTTCTCCGCTGGAGTCACGCCTCTTGACTCGCCGCACACCAAGGGGCATGTCCAGTCTGCGCCCAGTCTAAGTCTAGCAACTCTCCGCCGGCCGGTTCGCTTCAGGTTCGCTTCCCTATTCTGTTTCGTCCTTGGTCGCACATCGCTTTGGATTTCATTACGGGTCTGCCCTCCTCCGCAGGTAACATTGTAATTCTTGCTGTCGTTGATCGCTTTTCCAAGGAGGCCCATTTTATCCCCCTTCCCAAACTCCCCTCCGCTAAAGAGACGGCACTTACTGTGTTTGATCACGTTTTTGAGATTCATGGGCTACCGATCTAGTCTCCGATCGAGGGCTGCAATTTGTCTCTCTGTTTTGGAGGAAATTCTGTCGGCACATCGGAGCTACGGCCAGTCTGTCGTCGGGGTTTGGACAAGCTGAACGCGTTAATCAGATCTTGGGGTGTTTGCTCCGTACTCTAGCTGCTCACAACCCCTCTTCCTGGTGTGAGCAGCTGCCTTGGGCCGAATACGCCTATAACTTGTTACCGTCATCATCTACTGGGTTATCTTCTTTTCACTGTTGCCTGAGCTACCAACAGCCGCTATTCTCCTCTCAAGTGTCTGAAGTTTCCGTCCCCTCCGTCCAGGTCCTTATTAAGCGTTGTCGACGTACCTGGAAGAGGGTGCGGAATGCATTACGTAAGACAAGAAAGCGCATCTGTCAGGCCGCCAATCATCACCGCTCTAAAGCCCCGAGATACATCTGTGGCCAGAGAGTATGGCTATCCACTCGTAACCTGCCCCTTCAGTCTATGTCTCGTAAATTAGCTCCACATTTATTGGCCCGTTTTCAATTGTTAAGGTGCTCAGTCCGGTGGCGGTGGGACTTAGGTTACCTCACTTTTTAAGACGGGTTCACCCGGTTTTTCACGTTTCATCCATTAAACGGGTTTAATTCATGCATTAAACCCGTTATCCGCCCTCCCTCCCTTCCTCCCCCCTCCCCCCTGTCTCTGTTGAGGGTTCTCCTGACTATAGAGTCAAGAAACTGTTGGCTGTCCTACCCAGTCTCCCAGCTACCCGCTGCCAGTAGTTCGCTCTGCTCCGGACGCTGTCCTCTGGTCCAAACAGTCTAAGAGGTAGTCGCTCCTCGACCTGCAGCCCGGGGTGGTGCCCTGAACTCTCAAGTCAAGTCAGCCCTTATGTTCCAGTACTCCTGTGTTAAAGCCCAGTTCTGCGACCACCGAATACGGTCAGTGAACAGCAGACTGCCTAAGTTTGTTTTTGTGGACAATAAATCCTCAGTTTGACTTGCCTTTGCCTCTGGGTCCTTTTATCCTGACAAAAGCTCTTGTCCGTAAACCCCTTTGTAAGCCCATTAGTAAGGAATGTGAAAGAAAGGCACATGCAGACTGCTGGAATGCAAAAACATTGTTTTAGGTCGAGCTCAATTTGTGAAAACTTTCACAATAGCATTTTATCACGTGGCAGTGTTTCTCTTTGCTCTGCCCCGCATTTTTTTGTATAATAATGTCATACGGTTCTGTTCCAGTGAATAACGTTTACAATTCATTAAGTAAATGAGCATATACACTTACACTCTGTTTGACAATAAAGTTTTGGTTGTTGTACCTTTCCTTGAGTACTTGGCTTCAATATTCTGATTTGCAAAAGTTTCACAGTATAGCTTTTGTCAGTTAACCCTTTCTTGATCCCTTAACTTAACTATTCTGACCTGAAAAATTTCACAGTGCAGTGTTTATAGGCAGCTGACCCGTAGTGAACTGTGAACGTTTTCACATATCAGAATAGTGATGTACATGACTCGGGGAAGGGTCAGCTGACCCGTACTGAAATGTGAAAAATCAATGTTTTTGTATTCCAGCAGTCTGCGTGTTTATTGGTAATAGATGTTAAATATGAAGAATGCCTTTCTTTCACATTACTAGCGGACTTACCAAGGGGTTTACAAACAAGAGATTTGTTGTGAAAAAATTCACAGATCAAGCTATTCAGATTTTGTTTGGCTATAAATACGCACGGCGCTGTCATAGACATGCAAATAATACTGAATATCATTCACCGTGAACTGAGGTGATGCGGTCCTTCGGCCCGAAATCAGTTTTTTTTTTCGTAGCGACTCTTAATTTTATAATGCCAATAGCTCCAAATGTTGGACACTTAAAGGAATAAAACCGGTGTCATCTTCACCAGCTTGATCTGTGAATTTTTTCACAGCAAAGCTCTTGTTTGTAAACCCCTTGGTAAGTCCGCTAGTAATGTGAAAGAAAGGCATTCTTCATATTTAACGTCTATTACCAATAAACACGCAGACTGCTGGAATACAAAAACATTGATTTAGGTCAAGCTCGATTTGTGAAAACTTTCACAATCGCATTTTATCGCGTGGCAGTGTTTATCTTTGCTCTGCCCCCCGTTTTTATATAATAATGTCATACGGTGCTGTTCAAGTTAACCCTTTCTTGATCCCTTAACTTAACTATTCTGATCTGAAAAATTTCACAGTTATTAGAGAGAGAGAGCAAAAGAGAGAGAGAGGGAGAGAGAGATTAAGTGTGTGTGGATACTTGCGGCTGTGCATCTCTCAGCAGTATTCAACAGCAGCGTCTACTAATAGCGAGTTGAACTGCTTCAAAAACCTCACTGAGAAATGCAAAACTATTTTATTGATAAATTTGAGGGGCAGCCGCAGCTAGTTTTTGTCCACGTCTCCGCGTGTGTGCGTGAGTGCGTGTCTGTACTTTGTGTGCGTCTGTGAGAGAGAATGGGAGAAAGAAAGTGTGATTTCTGTACAAAAAAAGGATGAAGACATGGAAATAGTTTGTCATCTTACCCTATTGTTTGTTATATTTATTTGCTCAATGTCTTCTGGGGGTTTGGTTCTTTTACTGTTGTAGATATCCCATAGTATAACAAAAATATTATATATCTCTTCATTGTGTTTGGGCCACCCCTGGACGAGCGAGCATAGCCACGTGCCTAGAATGCCTATGCGTAAATCCGGCCCTGCATACAGTACATGTGATGTCAATTTTGCCATCAGCATAGTACACACATACTGCACATGAAGCTGAAATTTTCTTTGGAAGTGCAGGTCATAAATGGCCACATTTTTTTTTCAACTAATTGATTATTTAACAAGGTGGCTACACTGGCCCAAGCAACAACAACAGCCGCCTGCATTGACAAGCACTTGTGTGACAGGGTTAAGAGAAAAACTTGCAACCCTAGTTTAAAGTCAGCATGCAATGGAGCTTGTGTTGGTTTTTTCTTCTCTATTGTGACACAGCTTCTTGAATGAGAAAAAAGAAATGTCAATTCTGATTTCATGTTGACTTTAATGGGTACCAAGACATTTTGATCAGTCATAACTTCTGGAGAGAAATAGCGCAAACACTGCACAAAGATAAAACTTTGTAGTGCGCGAATGTCTGAATGCCTGTCTTCATGCACACTATCAAGTGGAGT